AGAGAGATAGAGAGATAGATAGATAGAGAGATAGAGAGATAAAGAGATACATATACATATATATAGATAGATAGATAGACAGATACACAGATAGATAGATAGATAGATAGATAAATAGATAGATAGATAGATAGATAGATAGATAGAGAGATAGAGAGATAGAGAGATAGAGAAATAGATAGATAGAGAGATAGAGAGATAGATAGATACATGGATAGAGAGATAGAGATATAGAGAGATGGATAGAGAGAGAGATAGATAGATAGATAGATAGAGAGATAGAGAGAGAGAGATAGATCGATAGATATATACATAGATAGAGAGAGAGAGAGAGAGAGAGAGAGAGAGAGAGAGAGAGAGAGAGAGAGAAAGAGAGAAAGAGAGACTAAAGACTCTAGCTCTGAATACATCATTATTGAAAAATCAGAGTAAGGAGGTATATTTATGATCAATTTTCAATCAGTAAATTATATACATAAAATGAGTTTGTTTCTTCAAACGGCTGCAGATTTCCCCCAAGGCTTCTCCTGTTCAAACGGCTCATTTGAATTTTTCACTACTCTATGCGCAGTTTTTCAAAAAGAGAGAAATCACATGCTGCAAGTTTCATTGATTCACGACAATTCCTATAGTCAGGATGAAGAATTCTTGAAAGCCCCGCCTAATGTTGACCTCTAAAAGGACTTTTTTGTGCAAATGGTAACATCGTGTCGTTCCATTTTCCGTTAGAATTTTACAGAAATAAAAAAATAAAACAACCCACATTGGTCAGTGTTATATCTATGGATCTTGTTGGTCTATTCTGTTATGGTCAAGAATGTTGCAAGGGGGCTTTCGTGGCCTAGAGGGGTGTTGGCCTCTCATTCAAAGGTCCCGGGTTCGAATCCGGGTAGCGACCAAAAAATTTTCTTCTCTAAGATTGTCTCCTTTCACCTCCTTTCCTACTCTCTAACAATGTTCTGTTGTCTGCTTTCAATTCCACTTTCTGCCCCCACCCCCTCACCTCCTTTGCCCTCTCCTCTGGGCTCCTGACTCTTTCTGCAGCCTTTCTACTGCTATTCCTTGGCTTCTTCTTACTGCTGTCTTTCTGCCACACCCCTGATCTTCTGGTAGGAAAGATCTACACCTAGCCTTCTCGGACAAGGGCGAAAAATCTCGGAGGGCCCGTGTGCAAGTTGCGCACGTTAAAGATTCCTTGGTGGTCTAAAATCGATAAGAGTAGGCTTCGGCCGCCACCCGGGCAAAATTCAAAATTTCCTACCAACTGAAAATATTAGGAGTGTCCCGCGCGCTCATATGACCTATGCAGTTGCGAGCGCCGTAAAACACTTTACAAAAACAATGACAATAAAACGAAAAAATTTTTATAGCATGTTTTCTTGACAATAAACTGAAATATGTGTATGTTTTTTTCTTTTTTTTTTTTTTGACAATAAAGCCAAACCTTGTGTTTATTTTAAAATGTCCTCATGCCAAGTCAAAAATGTGTGTTTATTTTAAGTTTTCTGGGCAATATGCCTAAATTTTAATATTTTAATATTTAATATTGTCTTAACACTTAGCTAAATTATGTGTTTAATTTTTTATATCTTGACACGCAGCAAAAACATGTTTATTTCATATTTTCTTCATAATATAATTCCACAAATCACATATTTTGTTGACAAAAAGGTAAAATAGGTGTTCAATTTTTTTATTTTTTTTGACAGTAGACAAAATCTTATATTTTATCAAATGTGTTCTTGCAAAGTTATGTGTTTATTTTATGTTTTCTTGACAATAGAGTCAAAATATGTGTTTATTTCATGATATCTTGAAAATAAGCCAAAATATGTATTTATTTTGAGTTTTCTTGACAATAAAACAAAAATATATGTTTTTTAAAGCCAAAACAGGTGCTGCTTTATGTTTTCATGACAAAAAAGCCAAAATAATGTGTTTATTTTATATTTTCTACACACCTAAACAAATAATAATATGTTTTTTATCTTGACAATATGTCAAAATATTATTTTTATTTTAGGTTTTCTTTACAATACGACATAATATGTGTTTATTTTATGTTTCCTTGACAATATGCCAAAATATGTGTTTTTTGTATGGTATTTTTTTTAACTATAAAACCAAAGCATGTGTTTATTTCAAAATGTCCATATACCAAGCAAAAAAGTGTTTTTTTTATTGTTTGGGGGGCAATAAGCTAAAACCAAATGTATTTAATGTTTTCATAACCCTAAGTGTTTATATTTTTATTGCTTTTGACGCAACAAATACATACATTTTTTATATATTTTCTTAAAAATAAATACAATGTACAAAAATATATATTTTGACTCTAGGCAAAATCTTGCTATTTTTAAATGTGTTCTTGCCAAGGTATGTGTTTATTTTATGTTTTCTTGGTGCTTAAGCCAAACGATGTGTTTATTTTATGATATTTTGACAATAAACCAAAATGTGTATCTATTTTAAGTTTTCTTGACAATAAAACAAAAATACGGGAGGGGGGGGGGGGGGGGGGTACAAGCAAAATATGTGTTTATTTTATATTTTACTCTCACCAAGCCTCTCATTTTTAATGTATATTTTTTAAAATAAATTTTCTTGACAATAAGCCAAAATATGAGTTTATTTTATGGTATCATTTTGACAATAAAGTCAAAACATGTGTTTGTTTTTTAAATTTCCTAATACCAAGCCAAAATATGTGTTTATTTTATGTCAATTATTTTATGGACAATAGACCAAATTATTATTTTTATTCAATGTTTTCTTAACACTATGCTAAACTATGTGTTTATTTTTTTATTTCTTGATGCGCAGCATGAACATATGTTTATTTGATATTTTATAAAAACAATACCACCAAACACGTGTGATGGCGCTCATATGACCGTATGCAGTTGCGAGCGCCGTAAAACCATCTACTATTAAACTTTTTAAAATTAAACACTTGTGTATATTTTATGTTTTGTTGACAAAAAGGTAAACGATATGTAAAACTTTTTTTTTTTTTTGACACTTGGCAAAA